CTTTGCAATTATTATTATTATTTGTTACATTTATATACTGCCCCATAGCCTGCAGGCTTTCTAGAAAAACATGCATTTTTTTCTAGTAACAGAGAAGGAAACACCTCTTCCGTCAATGTTAAATACTTTCTGGAGTCAGCTACTAGGGCCCAGTCGCACCTAACAGCAGCAAATAATTAATCCACAATTTGCCAAGGCAGTGCACTGCTGCCATTCTGAGCATGCAACCTTTGATTTGAAATTATTTCTTGACATGTGAACCCAGACACTAAGTGTTAATTATGAGTTATACAACCCACAGTTAATCTTCTGTGCAAACCAGATGTCTAAGTGGCATTTATTTGTGGGGATTAGACAGCGGCATCAATGCCTGCACCAGCTCTAAGTATAAACAAATGTATATTTAGGCAATTCTCCTATAATGTCCCCTATCTGGGCCACTGTTTCACACTACCTTACAATTCCAAGAAATCACCTTGAGGGCCTCCCAGTCTATTATGCACTGCATTACAACAATTTGTTCCATGAATGAATGCAATCCTGAGAGAAGGAAAGACATATGTAGAAGCTGAATACTGGGGCAATACGACATGTCACAAAAGGTGCTGGTGAAGACATTGCTAATCACAGCCATGCATGCAACACAGTTATGAGTTTTAATTTGCCTTTAGTTGTTGATTATCCCCTTTTTTAGATATAACTCTTTTATGCTATAAACTGATCTTAGGAGAGTGATGGGATATGGACATTCAGACAAGAATGAGAGAGAAGACAAGAATACTACAAAGTTAGAGAATACTTGGTTTCTTCTGGGTAAGGAACAATTCTTATAAGCCACTACTGCCACCATCAGGTGTTTCTAAAGAGCAACCCAAATTAATTCCAGGTGGAACACAGGCAATAGTGGCTTAAATTCTACTAGGGAAAAGTTTGGACAAACATTGAGCACCATTTCACCAATGGCCTTTTCTGAAGAACACTTTCTCACAGGCTAAGTAAACCAGCTGCAACCATGCCACCCTTATACATGCATACACGCAGGATGACAGGAGCGAGTTTTCTATCATCAGTCACATCTCTGTTGCCAAACCTGATGTAACACTGGCAAAAATGAGTGTTTAAAGCCATGCTAGCTGCCAAAGGCAAAAGTGTGTGTTTGTGTGTGTGATTTTAACCACATATGAGATGCATGGGGGAGAAGTGCTAAAACTTCCTTTGCCTGTTGCTTATCTCTCAAGCACAATGCGTGCACATCCAAGTAACTTTATCCTAACAAGGCTTACTGCTTATTTTGTATTTCCTCCAGTTATGCCCACTAATTTAAAAGAGGCACTATGCCTCTGGCTGCCACCTGCTAAGTAACATATGCTGGAGGGAGGGTGCTGCTATACTCATATCATCCTTGTGGACTTCCCATAGACTTCTGGTTGTCACTCTGTAAACAGGAAGCTAGACTAGATAGGCCTTGTGCTGATCCAGCAGGGTTCCCTTAAATTTTAATGGAAGGTTTCATGAAGTTTTTGGGAAGGTTTTGGTGCCACTTTTGTAGTTAAGATCAGGCATTTGTGGAGCTTTTAAAACACATACATCTGTTGTCCCTACACCTAGTTTGGTCATTACCCCAGCAGTTAAAATATAACTATAAAAACCCATCTTAATACTGTGGGCAGTATCTGCTGCTGTCCCATCTATGCACTGGGCCCAGTACCACTTCCATTCTATAAGCAGGCAGCCCCACTGATTCTCTTATGCAAGTGCTGCCTCATTCCAGAAATAACTCTGCATGCTCATTTTAGGTTGCTCCTGGACATGCTAAAGCTCCATGGCACAAGTGGGTGCCACTTACTCAATGGAATTTGCAAGGCTGTCTGCTCATGGGTAGTCACCTTTCAGTACTGTTTTGTGTTAGCCACAACCACACAAACAAAGGGGGTTGTCTGGAGAAAGCCAGGCAGGCCAAAATTCCATTTAAGACCATGAGACTAGCAGCCCAATATTGTGCATGTTTACTTGGATGCAAGTCTCACTGAGATCCAAGTAAACATGCCCAGGATTGAAGTTCTAAGTGCTTCAATTTCTCTGGATTCTTCACAGATTTCATATGGTATAATTTCAGAGCTAATAAATGCTTTTACAGCCAACAGTCCTTAGGACAGTAGAAAACATTATTCTAGCTAAAAACTGCTCACTGTGTTTATTTTGATAAAAGAAAGAAAATACCCTGTCTTTATCAGTCATAATTCTGGATTCAGTATTGGTAGGCATTTACTGAAACCAGGATTCCGTCTACTGTATTACCATTTTATCAAGGTTCTAATTTAAAATCCTCCTAAATTCAACTAAAAATGCAAGCACATGCATGTTTAACAATGGCTCCATTTAGCCATCTATTTTGAACATTACAAAAACATGCTTTTCAAATATGTTTTTTTGAAAAAGATTTTTTTCCAAGGGTACCTGAAAGTGTTGAGAATCTACATGTTATTTATCTTACACAAAAGAGTGTTTTTGAACTACAAGATTATCTCGCCTTCTCAGTTATGGTAAGGCAATTGTCATTGTCTAGTCCTTTCAGACTGTAGGGACTCAAGGCAATCTGTTGGTCTCACTATGAAAATAAAACATGAATCCAGTAAAACTACAAGACCTCTGGCTAAAGGAATACAAGCCTACCTATTCCAGTTCATTTAAAAAAAATGGGAAAATGGCAGATTTTGTGTTAAATTTGGTCCCAAAAGAACTTAAATATAATTTCCAAATAGCAGAACCTCACTCACATGCAAATATGCCTGGAAGTCCTATTTATTATTTAGTAACAAAAGTGATAAAATATATACAATACTTTAAAGCACCTACAGAGGGGTAGGTGCCTCTGGACATCAATATTCCCCTGGACACCTTTCTTGGGACCTGCCAAGATGTCCTACTTGTCTCACTTTTTTTAAAAAAAGTAGCACATTTTCATGCCAGCACCGGGGATTGTTGTGAAATCAGTTTCTTCTGGTGCTGAAAACTGTGGTTCAATTGAGTTGTTTAGCAGGTTGGCACTCAGATGCCACCTCTGGCTTGTTCTCAGTCTTTTGGGCAGGTTACTTGTCCTTTGCCATGGGAGTCCTTTTGTGTGGTGCATGGGCCAGTTTCTCAAATTGAAAAATGGCCCCATGGTCTAAAACAGGGGGTCTCAAACTCGCGGCCCGCGGGCCAATTGCCGGGACAGGCGGGGCACAGGGGAGGGGCCCTGAGGCCTTCCAAGTGCCAGCGGCGCCCGGGCCAGCCTCCGGATGAGCGGCCCACCACCACCGCGGTGGTGGAATACTTGATGTGGCCCAGCCTCACCCAGACTCTACTTCCAGAGGCCCCCAGGTAAGTTGAGTTTGAGACCCCTGGTCTAAAAGGACACCTATTCCTGGATAAAAGTATATTTCAAATGCCATACTTATTGTAACAGCAATACTTTGGGATAACAAAATTAACGTAGTACTGTTAATTTCAAATAATAAAATATCAGAACTTGGGGATTTTAGTGCATTATCCTACTATGATAAAGCTTCCACAAGAGCTGGAAAGGAATCACAACTTTTTTGTATGTATTGCCAGGCATTGGTCAGTTAGGTTCTATGTTATGGTTGGGAAGGATGTATTTCTTTAATGGCTACATCACTTGGTGGTTAAATTCACATCATAGCATGCATGGTACATTCACCCTACATTTCATGTCCTCCATGGTAAGGGGGGCGGGGGGGGGGGGACAAGATAACTAAGCATCTCCTCTTGTCAAACTCCACATTTTTATCTCTTTACAGAAATTTCCTTATTAGTGAAAAGAACTTAGCCATTGCTACAGTTTTTCTCCAATAGTCTGGTGGCTAACATACCTTGAATATCACTATCAACATAAACTAATACTAAATACAATACTGAGAGTTAAAAGATGCAGTATCCCTTTAAAGACTCTTCATTCCTCTAACCAGCCTACACAATATTTGTAGTGTGAATTCTCTAACACTCAAAAAGGCGATAAGTAAAATTTGAAAAAAATTTAAAAATATATCAAGTTGTAAACATATTTAAAAGTACTGTAAATCACATGTGAATTATTTTCTTTTTTTGGATCACAGAGACAGAGTGAAAGAAGAATTAGTTTTAGGCTATTGAAATTATATCATTGCTCCAAACATGCATGTTGTTTACATAATATGGTTCACATACATATTATATGCTGAGTATCTTCCTTCAGGACAATTTATATGTGAGGTTTGGGGAAGATAAATGGATCAATACATAATATTGTAATAGCTGCAGTTATTCCACACACACACACACACCCCGCAACTTCTAAAATCATGCAGATTCCAATTTGTTACAGGTTACCCTAGGTACCTGGCTTAATTAAAATTTCCTTCAGTGTAACAGCTTGTTATAAGGGGAACAAAGTGATCAGTATCAAGTTGTCAAAGTGTCTCATTCTTTCTTGCTGCCTGTAAGTCAATCTTGGATGGCAAAGGTAGATCTGGGAATACAAGCATATTCTACAATACAGTTGTAGAAACTGCCAACTGGCAGCAGCTATACTAGTCTGCTAGTGGTAGCAGAATACCATGCCATCGTCTCATCTTCCTTGGTCAGGGTTCCTTCTCATTCTTGCTGTTTCATGCCCAGAAAGTTGGAGATTATGAAATTTGTAATTCTTGTACTCAGAAGATATGTTATGTTTACAAATGGTAAAAAATAACATTCTGCACTTTGTGCACATAAATAGATATGGAAATGCAATTCTGTAGTATTTTAACACAGTAAGAAAGCTTGGCATGTTTAACATTTTTGTGCACATTTCCCAGAAGGGGGTGTTCTTACCAGGGAGAGCCATGTAAGTTGAAATAACTCAATTCTAAAAGAAAGTTTCCTCCGTAAAGAATTCTGCATCCAGTTGTTGTTGTTCCCCCTTGGCTTGGCTCAGCTCTCCCAGGCAAATAAGGGATACTGCATCTCTGCTTCGGATCCTACCGAACAACTAAACAGGCTACACACAATTTTGAAGGGCCTATGCAGTCATCATGGCAGAAGGCGCCACAGCCTTTGCACACTATCATGGCTTTCAGCCTGCAAGAGCATTTCAGTTCCAGCTCATCTGTGCTGCTGCTGTCAGCAAATTTCTGAACTGGAATCTGAGTGTTCTGTATAGATAGGCTGGAGGCTGTATTTGAACTGCTTCCTAAAATTCCGATAGATTTTTCAATTGCAGATGCTGCCCGTTTGAAGCTTGTGCTACCAAAATGTATTGTAGGGTAATTTCCACAGAGCTGCTGCTGCTGCTGCTGCTGCTGCGGCGGCGTCTGTATTTTCTGAGCAGTTAATTGGGCAAAAGGGTTCTGCGGCTCAGAGAGTAAATAGGAAGGGAAGTCAGAATTTTTCAATGCAAAGGCTTTCAACTGTTCTTTTACTTCATTCTGATCATAAGAAGCTTGTTTCATGCCCAGCTCACAGCTGCTGCTTAAACCTTCCTCAAAAGAAATGGGTTCTGATTTTATATTGCTACAGACGCTTGCCGGCTGAGGCCAACTAAGTCTTTTAGTGGTTTCCATAGTAACTGCCGGTTGTTTGTGATCAGATGGAGCTTCTGCACTGGGAAGGGGTGGGGGTGGGGGAGGTGGGGGAGGAGGCAGTGGAGGGGGGTGCACTAATGATTTATTCTGCAGGTTCTGTGAGGCACTAGAAATGTCATCACCTTCTTTAATTTGAATGTTAGGGGAAAACATACTAGCCAGCCTCAGCTGGTGAGGCGTTGTAGACCTGCTGACCTCTCCCAATGCCTTCTGCTCTAAGTGCCTGCTGAAAGCAAAGGCACCACAGCCAGATGGGGCCTTTAAAGTTGCCTGCATCAAAGCCGTCGAAGGAACAGGGCCTCTTGCAGCCACTGGCATTTGGTAGAAATGCTGCCTGTGTGAGCTGCTTGCCTCTGTGTGGAAGCTGTCATTTTTGTCCACGTTAAATAAGTTTTGTTGGAAACTGCATGAAGGCAATGGCCTCTTCTGCTGCTTGATCTCCGGGCTGTGTGCAATTCTGCTCTGAACACCATGCTTGCTTGGCCACTCCTGTTTAAACAGCTGGCCGTGCCCAAGTTGATTCAGACTGGAGCTGACAATACAAGGGCCTATTTTAACATCTGTGTCCATTGATGGTTTCCCAGGTTCACATTTAATGTCCCCTGCTGTACGGGCCACTCTCTTTTTGGGATGGTTTTCACGCTTTCTGATTTGCACTGGGGCTAAACTGGCTGCCTGAAATCCTCTGCCATCTGTATTTGGAGATGTGGAAGAATTTTCAGCCACATTTCTTTCAGAAGTTGCTGCTTTACATACTGAGGTAGTTTGCAAAGGCAAGGGAAGCCTGTTAATTTCTAGCTTGGCTCCAAACCTGGGCTGTGGCAAGACTTTCTCCAGTGGAAGGTTGCCTTGCAATAACTGTGTCACCAGAGGATTGTTGGCTTCTACTGATGACAAACGGCAGCTAGAGCTTCCAGCATTTGTAACTCTTTTTAGTGTTTCTGTTGTTAATGACAGAGAGTTCTCCATGGAATCTGTAACAGATGTCTTGGAGTTTTGTGTTGGCTGTGCACTTGTGGCTATTTCTACAGTCTGGAGAGGCATTTCGGGTCTCGCAAAATCTTCAGTGTCCATCCTAAAACATTTGTCAGATTCTGACTTAATAGGCATGGCTATGCTTGTCACAATGTTTCTTGCATGTATCTCATTCAGATGTGCAAAATTTGAAGGCTCCGTTTTGACATTTTTAATGCAGTTTTGCTCAATATATTCCTTATGCTTATTTGGGTTAAGATGAGTGACCACAGATTGATCAGTGTTCATTGCCTCATCATCGTTCCAACAGATTCTGCTATTGGGATTATATGGGTTGGCACAGACACTGTCTGTTTCACTTTTGAAAGTCAAAGCACCTCGTAATTGTTCTGAAAAAACTTGGCCAGGAGAAACAACTTCAAGTCTTTTATCTTGAGGCACTTCTCGAAGACTAGGGCATGCTGTTTGCAAATGTTTGCCATCTTGCTTTGCTGCAACAGTGTTAAAGCCAGAGCTGTGCTCCAGACTTTCATTAGTAAGCAACTCTGGCCGGCTTATTACAGACACTTGAGGACATGTGATACTTTGTAAGGCAGGTTCTGTCCTAATAGGCCTGCTCTGGATATCGGTGCTGTTTTCAGAGTTTTCCACAGATATACCAAGTGACAAGTTAGAGTTCATTGTTGTTGTTGTGTGATCAACAATGACTTTACAAGGTATAGATCTATTCATAGGTGCCTGTACATAACCTACTGAGGATTTACCAGACATATCTAATCGGCTTCTCCCTCCAGAATTTCTCTCCACAGTTTCAGCACTCATTTTGGCGGTATTCTCATAGGAGCTTGCTGTCATCATGTTACTGGCAAACACTGAAATAGAAGTCCTGCCAACAGAATCTGCTCCTGGAAGTGCCTCATTGCCATGTAAAGGTGCCCTAATGGAAGTGTTACTTGACAAAGAGCTTGGGTCACTACACCCCGTTATGGCTATCTTATCAGAAGAATATCTGTTTGCAGACCCTACTGGAGGGATCAAAACAGAGCTACTACCCAGATGATTTGGCAAATTACTTGCAATGGATGAAGTTGGCACAGTGCTATACTGGCTAGAAATGCCATGGTTTGCATTGTTGGTTGGCATAGACAATCTTTTATCATCTAAGGAATTTGACAAGACTGCACTGTCTACTGCTGTTGGAGTTGTGGGCTTCTCAACACAATTTGGCATGATAGCAATGCATGGAGTGTCAGCTCCTTGGATGGATTTCAGCATGGTTATATTGCAAACCTTAGTGCCTGTGTTTTCAACGGACATTAAAACTGAAGACTTATCAAGAGAACCTGCAAAGGGAAGTTCTTTAATTGCTCCTGACATACCAGTGCTGCACACAGACATGGGGACTGAGTTTTTATTATATAGCACTGACACACTGTTACTTTCCATAGAGGTAGATGAAAGCATTTTCTCACCGAAATGAGACACAGGGATACTGTCATCAGAATTGTGAAGAGAGATGTCAGTACTAGTTTCTGGTAAAGTAGTGGCATTAAGTGACTGCTGCAATAAAGTAGTCGCTTCTCGAAGGTGAGAAGACTTGTTGCTAGGAGACCTGCAGTTAGGATTAACTATAATCACGCCAGTAGAACCTTCAATCTTTGTTTCAGAAGAAGCTGAGATCTCCACTGCTGGTGGACCTTCCTTTGAGGCATGCTGAGATTTGGTTTCTTTATTGTTCTGGAGCAAGTGAGCTCTTGCTTGGTGCTTTGCAAACAATTTAGCCTTGGTCTGCTCCTTGATGTGTGCTAATGTCCTGGTCTTTCCACCTTCACAGGGACTTCCTAATCCTCCAGACACAATGCTTGCAGCTGCGGCCACTGCTGCCGCTGCCGCTGCCTCCCTCTGGGCTCTAGCTTGCTGAGCTCTTGCTTTGATATCTGCAAGTGTTCTTGCTCCAGTATTCCTCCCACTGCTAACTGCAGTACTTGGAGATGCCCGAGGCTCGGGTTTGGAAACAGGCTGGCTCTTGATGATGAAAGGAGGGCCAATTTTTGAAAGCTGAATCTGAAAGGGAAAAAAAAGAAAACATCATCATATGGATGGTTTAATGTCTCAAAAATTACTTCACAGCATGACGATGGAACAACTTATGCTAGCAACAACTAAATACCATGTATCCTTTACTAATTATCACCCATCTGGAAGGTGCTTTGTCACTGAAGCACAGACAATTTTTGTGTCAACTAAGAGGCTCTTTAATCTCTTTCTCTGTCTCTCAATGGGCCAATTCACACAATCAAACTAAGATACTGTGGTGTGTGCTGGCCATGGGTTAGGGTTAGGGTTATGGGTTGGTTATTGGGCCCGGGTCATCAGGTATCAGCAACTGGCACACACTATGATATAAATAAGTCACCCTTATTTAAATGAAAAATATTTATTTAGATTGTGCAAACTAGGTCAGTCTCTCTCTGTGTGCATCCCTACTATTTTCACAGCTCTCTGATCCTTGGTTTGTGGGAGTGGGGTTGGTTGCAATCAGATTTTCTGATAATGCAGAACTATAAACTCATGGAGGTATGTTGGAGCTGTGTATGTTAAGAGCAGAACTACAGGTGGTTTTAAAATAATTTCACAGGTGTTTCCCATGGCTCTGTGAAAACTGAAGCCAGTTCTGAATGCAAACAATGTTTTCAGTGGTGTTTTCTCTTAATTTTGTATTTATGATTAACAGTTTATTGAATTAGATATAAATGATTTTGGGCTCATTTTGATAGTGTTCCAGCACTTCCATTAGATCCACTAGCTACCATTGGAAGGACCTGTAGTACTTAGGCCATTGCACACATATAATAGTCCAATAGGGCAATTGTTTTTAATAATGTATTTCCAATTGAATTTCCATGGCTGTCTATTAGCATATTCACTCTGACAGATAGACGACTGACCAGAAGCTTGCCATGGCATCTGTGGAAGTTTGCAAGTTAACAAACAAACATGAGGCTCCAGCTGAACATATGGCTCTCTTACCTGTACATATGACCTTTTCATTTATGGCCACTTAAACTGCAAAGTCAATTATTCTTTTCTCTTTCTCATTTTACTTTCTAAAATGTAATGCAGCTATTAAAATAGTAACATTAATGTTACACAATTAAGGGCTCCATGGTATATGCAATAAAAACTACCTGCTCTTTTCATGGGTGTATTGCTATCTGAGATGACACACAGAAAACACTATTAATAGGCTCCAATAGCATTTCTGAGGGAAAAGAAAAACAATTTCTTTTACAAAATGTAGTACTTCATGTTGGAAGAATGTTGACTGAGTTCAGCTATTCGGGTGATGTTATGTGGAAACCTCCATACTAACAGCTTGCAATGAAACCAGGATTGCTCTGAAACAAGGGATATTTGTCAGATGTTGGTTAATTACCTTTGGCAACTGGTGTTTTAATTGGAAATTGTTAGATGAAAGGAATCACTCTCTAGAAGTATGCACTTGAATTAGTGAAGAATGCCAGTGTATTTCAGAGAAAGTTGTAAATAGAGATTTTGTTTCAGTTCTTTCTTTCTCTCTCACACATGTGTACACATGTGCATGCACACACTATCACATGCAAAGTGTACCTTAAGAGGTGGGACTCTGGGCTCCTCCCTCGGTGGTGGTTCCCTCTCAGATGAACTTGCCGATGCATTACGATGAGGCTGATCATCTTCGATTCTAGCACGCTTCTCTTTGCAAATTCCAAAACCATGGTGCTCAGCAGTCTTCCTCTTTGGAATTTCTAGGTCCCTGCTTTCACTTCTTGCTTCAGGTGACTTTGTGGCTTCAGATGGTTTTGAAGAATAAGAACCTTCAAACCGACTCTGCAAAGTCCCCTGAAGTTTGTGAGACTTGCTTCTGCCTGCCTCTGAGAACAATTTTTCTGATGAGGAGGAGTTAAATAGTTTATCAAGTGATTTCGATGGAAGAACTTCAGTATTTTTGCATCCTGACACTTCTGCTAGAACAGATACTTCTAGCTGAGAGATTGTACTTTTCTTGTCAGTTCTTTGCTGGGTACCATGGTTTCTAATTTTTATCACTTCCAGGGAAGAACGTTCTGTAAGAGAAGAAATGAAAGGTTTTTCTATATCAGAATGAGGCCTACATGGTTGATTAGCAAGTTTTATAGACTGGGATTCTTCTACTGCTGAAGCTTCAGGAATGACAGCTTTCATGGCTTCCGGTGTACCTTGGAGCTGTTGTGATGCAAGATTCTCTTCTTGAGAATTATTAGAAATAGCAGAAGTTTCTTCTTTCAGGGGTGACAAGGATTCTTCAGACAAACATGGTGATTTTCTTTGCTGACTAAATCTTTCACTCATTGGGGAATTAGAAAGCGGAGATGCTTCTGAAGGTAACAGTACACTGTTTGAATGAGATGTTTCTGAAGCTAAAAGAATAGAAGACACTGAAGAGGTTTCGGATGTCAAGGGCAAGTCAGACAGTGGTGAGGTTTCTGATGGTAAAGCTAAATTAGAAACTGGTGATGTCTCTGAAGTCAGAGGCAAATTTGACATCAGAGATGCTTCTGAGGTTACTGGTGAGGGAGGCATTGGAGATACTTCAGACACTGAAGATGTATTCAGATTATCATCAATGGGTTTTTGTTGACTATCAGCATCAGTATTTTCAGTGCAAGAGATGTCAGAAGAACATGCTGTTTCCAGAGATACTGGAGTGCAAGGCTCCTCTGAAGTAGATTGTGTCTCTCCTCCAGGAGATGCAATACTGACAGATGGTTCCTCTGGGCTTTCAGAGGAAAAAGACGTTTCAGAAATACAAGCATTTTCAGAGGACTGTTCATCAGGGTCACTTTGAAGCTCCATATGTACAGCAACATTTCCACCAGTGAATAGGGAACCATTGAGGACAGGGGAGTATTTTCCATGAGGACTTAGTTCCTTTGCTGACTCCAGATCTTTTTCTTCCATGTTACTGACAGAGTTTGTAGATGAAGCAGACTGTGAAGGTGATAAACTGCCTTCTGGTTGATCAGTCATGACTGACATTTCTACTTGGGGATATTCAAATCTCTCCTCCACTTTAATTTCAACCTGAGTCAATGTACTTACTGCATCATTCATGACAATACAGGATTCAGAATTCTCTGCAAGGGGTAAAGTTTCTGTTTCTTCATTTATACCAACTGGGCTGATTGCCTGTTCAGAACTCACATGTTCTGTTTTATGGGTCTCCTCCTGACATTCACAGATAGTTGTTTCAACCTCCTCAGCAATTTCCTCTTGAATAACAGATTCTTCAGGTATCAGAATGCCTTCTGTATCTGCTATTAGATTCTTGGATGGAATTTGTTCCATGTTGCAAAGTGACTGACAGAAATCTCTCTCTGGCAATAATGGTGGCTGGTTAGTTTTCTTTTCACATTCATCAAAAGTTGACTCTCTTGAAGGACCAGGCAAATCTGAAGACCCACAGAGTGAATTTTCTTCGTTTTCATTATTGTTCTTGGCAGATGTAAGCTTCATAGACTCTTCTATTGACATTCCCAGCCTAGTTAGAAATCACACAGTTAAATTATACAAACATCATTCTTCAAATAGGTACTTGTATTTTAAAACCAAAAAAATCTTTCATTATATGCTACAAAAGTAGAATTTCCAGGTGAATTTGTAGATCTGTAGACAGAAATTATTGTCTAGTAATGGTGCTTTTGTCTCATAAAGCTACAAAAACTTTATTCCCAATTATTTGTGTTAACTCTAAAAATTTGCTGCATACACAGAGTACATGCAATTTTTTACCTAGTTTATATTTTCAGAAAGATGGCACAACTTACAGAAAAATGAATTTAGAATTCCAGCAACTCTGACCTCCAAGTTTTGTTGACAATAGCAATTTAGACAATGGCTAGTGTCAAAAGCCTGAAGGCCAGTTTAGTCCAAGTTCTGTCATTTTCAATCTCCATACCCCCATTTTTACTATTGTTTTTATCACATCTGCATGTTTTGTGCCTACCCCATTCATGTCTTTGTGGTCACAAGAAGTATCATAAAATGTTATGCATATACTGTGTTTGATATTATTATGGCAGAGATGACCTGATGGTTAATATAATAAACATATTTAAGTATGGTTTTGAAGAATTCACTTGATATCATTCTTTGTCTTTAAGCAACCTTTATTACTTGAAGCTGATCTGCCAGTGGCAGTCAGCTTGACTACAATTACTCATCCTCTAATAATCTCCTGTTTGGATTATTGTAATGTTTTGTACAATGGGCTGCCTTTAAAAACAGTTCAGGAACTGAAGTTGGTTCAAAACAAGGGCACTAAGTTATTGAAAGCTGGATAGTTTGACCATATTATGCATGTGCTTTGTCAGCTGCACTTGGTCCCACTTTTCTGACAGACCTAATTTAAACTGGCAATTGTAACCAATAAAGACTAAAAGCCTTGACACCTGGAAAACCATCTTCTCCTAAATTATACATTCTTCCTCATAGACCCTACAATATTGATGTTAAATGGTTGTGGTAACATCATAAAACATTCACTGAAATTATTATTGTATTTTTGATTTTGGAGTCACAGCTCTTGTAATAATTCTGGAGTAATTTAATTCAGATTGTGTAAAGTCCAACTAGCCAGGCTGTTCCCTTGATACAGATAAAAATAATTCTGTCTATTTTAAAAGGTTAAAATAAAGCAGTGTATATTTGGTGATGCTTGCTTGTGAAGAAACCAAGCATGGTTCTTATTAAAATGTTGTATTTTAATGCTGAACTACATGTGACCTGACTATGGCAGGACCACAGCTTTAACTATTTACACATATAAAGCACAGAGGAAGGGCACCTGAACTCAGAGGGGGCAATGTGTGGGAGTTGCTATGCAGCTTGACCCTCCACAAGGTGATTCCTCTTCTGGCTGGGCTCTGATACTAGGAAAGGGGCTGCTGGTGAAAAGGAACTAGGGCAAGGGACTATAGGGAGAAGCACTGCAGTTTCTTTTATTTCCCCCCTCCCGCCAACCTACCCTTTTAATGTGACCAGGGCAGATCTGCATTTAAGGAAAGTGCTGACATGCTGTTAGAATTTCATCCAGAATCTGCAATGCCGGAGTTGTGAGTAAATCATCTATATTTAAACTCAGCCCTGCATGTTATATAGAAATGAGATTGCCTCTGTCCATAAGGTTAGTTGAATAAGACAGATGGGACAAAGACTTGCTAAAGGAGCTGTGGGAATGGAGGCAGGGGATGTTTAGCATAGCACAGATGGAAAAGGCTGTAGGGGTCCAGGGAAGCCTTTCTAAACAAGTGGGAATTGAGGTAAGTGGAGAAAAGCCACTAAGGAGCCTTCTAACTATGGGAGGCAGAAAGAGCTACATTATTGCCATTATTAACTAGGAGTTTATTTTTAACTGGTCTATGTGAAGCACAAGTATCTTTATTAATGTATATTTGAAGATGACAATTTAGAATGTTGCTTGGATACTTACTTTTCTCCATAAAATCTTTCAAAGAACTTCTCTTTCCATGGTTCTGTTTTCTTTTCCTTTTCAATCTCTTGTCGGATGCGCAACTGCATTTCAGGAGTAAATTCTCCTAAAAGATACAAGTAGTAAAATATTGAATACAGGTGTCTAAAGCTGTACATAAGGATTTCATTGGAACTTGGGTGGGAGGCTCGGCAGAAGCTCCATTGAACAGAGGCTGTGCAAAAACTGCTTAAAACTGTGCGGTAGATTTCACAGACTGGTCAAGTTGAATGATTCCAGTGCACAAATCCAAGCACTTTCATGCATTCATCAAGTCTTCCAAATGTCATCATCCAACTACATTTCCTGGTGCTGTTTTGGAGGCCTCTCCAGAAGGTTTTCCCAACTTTGGGAAACAATTTTCAGGTGTCATGGAAGGCTGCAGTAAGCAGGAGTCCTCAAAAGCTCCCTGTGTGACTCTTTAGCTCTCACTTGTTATATTTATATTCATAGGTATATTATATTGCTCTTTGCATTACTTTCAGTTGCTCAAAAGTTATTTCAATGCAAAACAATTCTGAGAGAAACCAACAATACAATTTTATTTGTAGTGTTGCCTTACTATTTCTAAAGTATGTTGGTGGGATTTAGTCACATGCATTTAGGTTTCTAAAGTTGACACTGATGAAAATGCTTGTTCTTATTTTAAGTATGGCTGTCCAAATGATCTTCTATATTCAGATATAATAAACAGATTGCTAATATTAATTTGAAGATGAACTAGAATATTTGAATTTCAAGTCTTGAAACTCTGCATTTTCTTTTATAAAAGTATTTTAAATGAGTATTATTCTTGCCCATAACACAAGAAGGCATTTCTTCAGGAAAAAAAATCAGTATTTGGTTAAATCTAATAACAAATAGAAAATTACCTTCTGCCAATCGTTGTTTCCACCCTTGTGCTGCATATGCAAAGAATTCATTATTTAGAGCGGAACTACTGAGGCGCAAAACTCCATCACTTCCCATCTAGAAAATAAGCCGGTGGTAGCAGAAGACACTGTCAGAGATTGCTTCAACTAAGAGTACATAAGAATAGAGCTCCAATTATGTGATACAGGGAAGGATAGAAAGTGGGAATAACATAGGGAATAATCTCCTAATATTTAAATAGCATTTTCATTATAGTCATCATATTAAATGCAAGTGGCCTAATCCAGTATCAGTGTACCTACATTAATGATGATCATGTTCTATTGATTTTAACAGTGGAATCCTATGCCGCTTTACTCAGAAATAGAAGACTCATTGCAATCAATGAGACTTGCACCCAGGTGAGTATGTTTAGGATTGTACAAAAATAATGAGAGCATCTGAAATGTTAAAATGGGGCCCAACAACAACCATTTATGTTTAAGAAAAAGTTCCAACATTTTCTGTGAAATTAATGAGCAGTACCCAATTATTAGACCAATAATAATAATACAAGTTTTAGAAAGTTGAAACGATTTAAAAGAAATAACTTAATCCACAAAATGCTCCAAATCAACAGAACAGAAGAAAAGCCATGCTGGATCAGTCCAAAGGTCCATCCAGTCCAGCATTCCAAACATACTGTGGCAAACCAGCTCCTACTCAAGCAGGATGAGTGCAAGACCTTTTCCTGCCCAACCTCCACAGTAACTGCTGTATGCAGGTATGAACCTCTGCTAAAGGAGGTAGCATGTAGCTAGCAAGGCTAGTAGCCACTGAGAGACTCTCCCCTAATGAATCTGTACAACCTCTTTTTAAAGTCATCCAGATTGGCACCCATCACCACTTTCCATGGCAGCAAATTCCATAATTTAATATATGCTGTGTGAAAGGTGAAGTACTTCCTTTAATCTGTCCTAAACCTCCCACCAATCTGCTTCATGGGATGATCCTAGGTTTGAGTGTTATGGGTGAGGGAGAAAAATAGGGGAGCTGCTCCAGCCCACTGATCATTTTTGTTTCCCTTCTCTGTATTTTCTCCAAAAAATGTCCTTTTTCGGGAAGGCAACCAGAACTGAACACAATATTCCAAGTGCAGTCATACCTAAGATTTGTAGAAGGGAAGTAAGATTTTGACAGTTCTGTTTTCATTTCTGCTCCTTATTGTGTCTACCATAGCATGAGCCTTCTTTACAGCAGCTGCACACTGGGCCAGCATTTTCACTCAGTTCTTCACCTCTACTACCCCAAGATCCCTTTCTTGCTTGGTCACTGCTAGTTCAGATCCATCAACATTTCTTTGAAGTTACAATTTTTTGTCCCAGCATGCATTATCTGATAAGTTTCAAGCCAGCAAAACAATGTACTAATAGAAACCTGATTTTCCCTTGTCCTTCTTCATCAGCTTTCCAATGGTTATCTTGAGGAGCAACTAATGTATAATTGGTGACTTTGTGATGGTGCATCATGGAAAAGGAACAACATTTCTAGATACAAAAGTGAAACTGCCCATGAAATCAGCAGGAAAAAAGGCAACTCAGGATACATTATTGTATGTATTGAGAACAATGGCCACTATGTTTGCTGGGAATGATGGGTGCAATTCTATCAAGAATGGCGAAGAGAAGAAATGAAACCCCCTAGCTACCTAGTATCCATATGAATCTCATTTTACATCTAGTTGGGATGCATGTGAGGACTAGTGTTCAGTAGGGCAGATGGGATGTTGGGCATCTTTAGCAGGAAGGTCCTGAAATATGGAAGTGCCATTTTACAAGAAATACCAAGTCAGGTTTCTCACTTCTTGTTTTCCAGTCATATTTGTTCAAGCAGATTAAAAAAGCCTTCTGAAAACTGCATTGAGAAGAAAATAAAAGAACCGCAAAATTATAGAACTGAAATTTGCTTCTGCTACAAATTCGTACACAATTCGTACACTCTAAGATCAGACAGAATAGTTTTCAGATTAGACCAGTCTTCCATAGCCTAGTGCCTTACAGCTGTGAACTACAAACCCCATCACCTCTAACAAGAATGACTAATGGATATACTATCTAGGGATGATGGCCATTTGTAGCCATGCTGCCTTGGTGAGTGCATTTGCACCTGGAATTAAAAAGTGCAAGAAAGGGAAAAGTTAAACTTCCTGGAATTAAAGTAGGTATTTACTTCAGTAGTCCATGGCCATGGAGATGGCACAATTAACCACTAAAGCTAAATTAGTATTTGGAGAAACATGCTAATAAAGCACTTTTTAAATACTCTATTAATTTTATGGTCTTAAAGAAATGCTGTCCAACAGAGACAATGCTTTAATGAGCCAGAACAACAAATGTTTTTGAAAGGTTGTTTTTTAAAATTCTGTTGGGCTTGGAATTCTGGTTTTGTCTGATTAAGCACAATGGAGGTGTTAATTCCCAAATACAAGCAATTATTTTATGGCAGACCCATACTTGAAACATTAAAGATTTTTTTTACTTTATTGTGAGTGGGGGATATTTGTCATAGCCCAATGGCTATTTTCATAAACAATGAACATGTCAGACATCCCTTAAAAGAATAGTATTTAGTCAGTTAATTTCCTACTGGTGCCTAATTTAACTCCTTTGTTACTGAAGCTAACAGTGCAGCATGGGAATAGAATATGGCAATATTTGATATACTTTGATTTTCTTTAAAAATATGACATTACTTTACAGGTGTTTAAATTCTTCTATGTGACTGATATATTAAGAAGCACTCAACCATCTAAATCCATTATTGCACTGCTTCCCCAGCTCAATCTAATAATTGGTGCCCTCATATAAAGCTATTGCTCAAGCTTTCTGTATAATTGATATGTAGAAGATATATTTCTCAAATAAAAGGTTTGGTAATAAGCATTGATTCTACTAGTAACACAGGAAGCAATGAATTCCACATGATTTGGTTATATTGTTTTGCAATATGAAGGCTTTAGGTTCAAGACAGCAAAGGCTTACTGCAGTAAATTAACCATGCATCACTCAGCATGGATCGCCATTTTTAATGGAAATTATTAAATGTTAGCTGCACTTAAGGAAAGTAGGAAACAAAGAGGATTCTGGTTAGTTTCTTGAAGACATTTAAAATGGGAAGATGTCAGTAAAGAACATTAATGCTGGAAACACTGGCAAAGAGCTAGCAGTTTTTTAGTTCATTAGAAATATATTATCACAAATACATTAAAACTAAGCTTATTATTAAGATATCAAGGAACGGTCTGTCAAATAATTCTGAGCAATTATTGTTCCTTGGCTTTACAGTTTAGACAAGCCTCCTGGGAGCCAATTTGTTAGACATGTGAGATGTGAACTCTCCATGTCCTGCCCAAGTATGGCCACTACAAAGTTTGACCTTTAATCCAATGTCTCTTAATTGTGTGCAAGATGCTCATGGGGTAAGAAAAGATCTGGAATATCACTACCACACTTCTACTATTGTGATATAAAACAAATTAATTAGCTTACATCATATTTTTTCTACGTTTCCTCTCTGGGAATTGAAATAGACAATAATTGTTAGAAAATTAGAATAAAAATATGTATTTATGGCTGTCAAGTCCAGAACAAAAAAAAAAAAAAAACCCACCACACAGCATGTGAGCCAGAAAGAATATTGAAACATTCTGCACAAGTTATAATATAAGAATAGCTTGACTGAGCAACTTCAATGAAAACAAGGTTTTGGTGAGTAAAAATAAAACTATCACACTGTAGGGGTGCATCTCTGACCAAGCTGCTCCATAATTGCTAAATGCCAAGGCATCCTTCAAAACAACATATTGGATCAGCTTAGAATTGTGGAACCATTAAGGAGGGAGGTTTCAGAGTATTCTCATGTTGTACTGACACATCTTTAAGCTAATTTTACTTACTGCATAGAAAATGAAAATATTTTTCCAAGTCAAATGAAAATTAAATGCTACTTCTCTTTTCCATATTAGTTTGGAATATATATCAAGTAAGATTGAAAAAGAACAAACGTGTCGTGAAAATCAGATCTGTTTAATCCTGCTTGGTGAGACACCATAATGGTTATAGTAGATGGAGGTGCTGAGAAACTATAGTGGCCAATATTGTTGCAAATATAAAAGGGAGGGGTTTTTAAACAGGATCACAGTGATAAAAGAAAATGGCAATAAGCACGGAGGAAGGCTAGAACATACAAGCATAATGGACTGAAACCAAAGGAAATTAATCATGCTTTAGTCCCATGGATGAATCATGACTGAGTTGCCCAATTAATTTCAATTGGCCTAAATACTGACTAACTTCTTCTGGCTTAAACCCAGTGTAACAGCACACATATTAGGCCAAATACAACAAAAAGCATGTTGCTATGAGCATGCAAATATAACTGCTAAATTAATATGTTGCAAAACATAAAATATGGAATGAGCCTAATGATATGAGGTTTCCCAGGGTGTGGTGAGGAAAGTATTAGGCATGTTGTTCATTCAATATTTAAATCAAGAATAGCAAACTTAATACTAGCATTGAAAATATAAGGTGAAAAATAACTTTGGTGGGGCTCTCACAGAAGTCAGCCTGGGGAGGAGGTGGGTTTGCTTTGACTTTGAGGAAGGAGCTGTGAATTACTTTAAGAAACACACCTGCTTCCTACTCTTCATAGTTCTCCCACAATTACATTTGGGTGTAACATAAGATCCTATTTGAACACAATGGAAAGTGCACTGCATGTGTCACAAGAGTGGTAAAAGCATTGCATAAACATCATGAGAGCAATCCCTGATACATGGAAGGGACTCTCATCTAGACCCAGTGCTGCCACTCAGGGCACAAAGAGAGTAGAAATGCACATTAAATTCAATATAACTGGGGAGAAATGTAAATCAATTAATATATGAAACTGGCTTATACCAAATCAGATCCTTGGCTAATCTATCTCAATATTATCTACTCTAGCTGACAAATCTCAAGCAGAGTTGTTTTCTAGCTCTTGCTGCCTGTGATTCATTTACTGGTTGTACAGTAATTGAACCTCAGACTTTCTCCATATAAATCTTGTGATCTATATGGAGCTGCAAAGTCTAGAAAAGCAATGGAATTGTGATGCTTCTGCCATACAAATAACGGCAACATGCCCCTGGTTGCTCATCTTATCTTGTATACATAAAGGCTGTAGAAAAGGTGATGGAGGCTCCAAGCTGATGGAGACTAGAAAGTAAGTAAAAACAAACAAACAAACAAACAAACAAACTGCAAGCCATCATAAATTCACCTTCCCATGGGAAAGAAACAATTAGATTGTTTTTATATTAGATTACAAAACAATTTGGTAAACATGACAGTCACACTCCAGAAAAGCACAAGCAAGAGATCGACTTCTTTAGTGAACAACAGCTTATTATGTGGAACAAGCAAAGGAGGGGGCTGCAGTACCCTTTAAGAGATTCTGGATTGCAGCCAATATTGTAAATCATTTTACTCTTCACTATGGAAACAGAATGATTTATACAAAAATTTATTTTAAAAGGCTTTCAATGTTAGTCATAAAAGCACTTAAGTTGCCTCTCCATTTATTGTTTTTAATTGAAGGTTGATGGCTTCTTGAAAAAAATTTAGGGACAGAAAATATATCTTAGGCACTAATATTGGTTTTTAGTCAAGTGCTGTTCTAAGTGCTTTTGCAAATCATACCACATAGCCATTAAATTGAGGGAGCTGGTGCCATGGCACAACAGAAAACAATATCTTTGGTTAAATAGCCGACAAGACTTTGAACTGTACATCCTACCCTCTTCTGTTAAATAATCCCTCTAAAGCTTTTCTGCATTGCTTAAGGCTCCCTCAGCAGTATCTTCTTGGCGTTTCCTGTTGTTTCCAAAATGGAGTCTTGCCACTGGGGGATGATGTCAGGTGATACGTGGTACCCTCTAATAATTGATCACCCATCTCATCTGCTTCACCTTGCCTCAGGTATGATCAGAAAAAAGAGTATAAAAACCTTGGGCTGATGCAGATCGGGTGCAATATGCTAACCCTTGGCCATTTCTTTGGGACCATAAATGAACAAAATGGAAAGCAACTCCTGCACCAGAGCTTTCAAGACAGGACTCTTCTTCAGTCCTTGCTGGGGAGGCCAATGGGTTATGATTTGGGAAAGTGTGCAAATGAGTTTTGTATTTTCAACCATCAGATAGTTTGTTTGTTTTTCGATTTATATCCTGCCTTTTCCCTACAAAGGGCTCAAGGCAGCTTACATCATTTTCCTCCTCCATTTTAGCCCCATCTCCATCTTATCTTATCTCCATCCTATAGTGGAGTCAAAAGTAACTCTGCAGGCTAGTTTGGTGAGGAAAACAATTCCATAAAACTTGCCCCTGCACTCCCTTATGCCAAGCTTCAGGATCTGTAATTTGAGGGGGAAAAAAAAAAGCTTTTTGAAGTGTGAGTCTTCTGCGAGTCAGAAGAGAAAGAAAAAGATAAGTAAATGTAGAGTGAGGAATGGGTTTTTAAAAAGTAACTTTAGGTTTTGGCTGTTTGTTTTATATCCTGCTTGTTTCCTTACAAAGAACTCAGACCAGCTTACATCATTATTGCTCTCAATCTTATACCTATGACAACAGTCCTGTGAAGTAGGTTGGGCTGACAGTCTGTGACTGGCCCAAAGTCCCCCAGTTGGCTCCATGGCTGAATGGGGACTAGAACCCTGATCACCTGAGTCCCAGTCCTGTGCTCTTAACCACCACACCATACTGGCTCTCTTTGTGGTTTATAAAGGAGTTGTTACAAAGGCTCAGTCTTGGAAGGTCATTGTTCTTTATTATTTTTGCCATATTGAACCTAAGAATCTTCCTTAGTTCAGCTTGCCTTGGCCATGATGAAACATTTTGCAAGAAGTAGCTACAAATTCCTACATGCCTTTAGACACATACTGAGTAGAGGTCCCATAGAAGGGAAAGGTTTTATGGGTATAAAGCAAAGGTTTTTATGAGTATAAAGTTGTAGCCTCTCTTTAGACTCAGCTTGACTCTTCAGGCAACAACTCTTCCTTTGCCTTGCCAATGTCTCCTGTATGATGCATAGCTATGCCAGATTTTTCTGCCAGCTCAGGGAATATTTTCAAATGATAACCCCTTCCCATACAATACATTTGGTGAGGTTTCATTTGGGAGCAACCATGTGTCCTTTTAAGAAGCTGACCCATTTTCCATGATGTTTCTATCAATCTTGATTTATTATCAATTTATTTTTTTAAAGATAATTATATATTGTAGTTATTCCTATACAGCATAAGTTCATCAGATTAGGAGAGGAAGTACAGAATCAGTACCCAGAAGAATATTATGTCTCTCATACAAAGTAAACAAGGAAAAACACCTCAAAGATGACAAGAGTTTCAATTTCTTGTCACAACAGGGAACCATTTTAATGATTTCATCATGTTTGCAGTTGAGTCACTAGTGCAAAGAAATATATGGTGTACTCTTTCCCTGTAGTACTCTGTATTTTTTCTAGGTTTCTGTCTTCTGAAAGGTGTTTTACTATACTTCTTGGATGAATAAATGTTTCTGGGAACCACTATAATGATTTTAGTACACCAAGGACCTGCTTAGTGATACACAGGTATAGTGAGTTAGAAAGCAAGTATTTGTACAACTAGAAGTATAAACAAGTTCTCCAAACTAAGGTGGTGTCTAAACCATTCTCACATTATCATTCTAGGAAGATATTCTGAAAATAACTCATGCAGAAGAAATAAAAAGAAATGAAAAAAAAAGTCTCTAAGATAAAAAATAGTCTTGCATTTAACTCTAGCATGCAATACTTTATGGAAGTATCTTGCCAACTATATGTGCAGGTGGAACATGAGGATCACAAGGAAAACAGCTTTGGGAAAAGCAAGATTTGCTGTGTGATGAAAACAACTTCTAGGGCAATCTAAATCATGCTCAAAACCAGTTGGTAGCACTTCTGGACCCACCTCCCTCACCTGCTCCAAGCCCATAGAAAGCTATGTGGATACAGAAATACCAGGAGTGGTACTCCTGTTGTTAGTAAGGCCTGGGCATTCTGGAAATATGTTTGCAGTGAACTTGTAACCATAGGCGCCAAAGAGCCCTTAATTCCACCAACATGCCAGAAGACCAGGAACTCAAACTATGCTAGACTAGAGCTGGCACAGTTATTTCATAAGACCATAAGACCAAGGGTCCATCTAGTCCAGCATTCTTTCCACACAGTGGCCAACCAGCCACACACAGGAAAGCCAGAAGCAGAACATGTTTCCTTGCAACTGGTGTACATAGGCATAGTGTTTCCAACACTGGAGGTAGCATATAGCCATCAGGACTAGTAGCCATGGATAGCGTTCTCCTTCATGAATTTGTTCAATCACCTTTTAAAGATGTCCAAATTGGTGGCCATCATCACATCATATGGAAGAGAATTCTATAGTTTTAAGTACTATGTGAATAATGGATTTAAAAAAAAAATTACAGTGGTGGGGAAAAGAAAATGCTGCCCCACCCACCCTAGGAACCTCTCAACTTAACATTTCTTTGCCACCTTACTGCAACAAAACTTTGGGAGGACTATTTCTGCATAATGTAAACACTCTCAAGCACTAGAACTGGTATGTTGAGATCACAAGAAATAGTGTGAAGGAAAATATCAATGACTGGAGGCTGGGAGGGATTGGTTTAGGTAGCAGTGGGTCAAGGAATATTTACAGTATCACTACAACACTTTTGCATTTGCAGCCAAAACCACCAGGAGGTTCGTGTTGTTCATAGTTACTTGGAGTAGATAATGTGGGAAGTCTAAAACTCTTCACATTCTTTGTAATAAATGTTGCCACTATTTCACTTGGGCATGAAAAGGATATATGATTTGTAACTTTTCATTTACTATTTCCTCTTTTCTACAAAAATGCTAAAACTTGCCAAATCTTCCTTAACAGAAGATTTTTTAAACTCTTGTATTATATGTTCAATATCAATTGTTGTCTCAGTCCAACAATTAGTTAGAATATACAACTAGTGTCAAAGAGGGTCTGTAAACTTCTTCCAGATCAAAAAATGCATTCAGTCAGTTCATCAGAGTCACAAAGCAGACAGATGCATATCCACCTGTACACAAGTATCTCCCTTTCTAAATCTGGGTACAAATTCACAGAACTGAACTATCAGAGAAGACAGATCACAAAACGGTTTTGTGACAAATGAGAACTGAGGAAAGAAGTGAGAGTGCAACAGTTTATGAGATTTTCATTTCATTCTTCTTGCCAATTCCATGTCTGTTCAAATAGATTAATTTACTGGAAGTCATTCATCCATCAATTCATGACCCTGATTTTACTCTTAATGTTATTTATTACTTAAGTATTTTTTACTGCCTGTAATCAGATTTCCAGAACATTACACAATCATTTTTTGTTTTGGCATATAGTTCAATAAAATACAAACGTTTATAATCTAGCTGAGATTGTTAAACTATTGTGGCAATTGTACAGAATAGGTGTCAACTTACCAGTGACTGTCTGTTCCTCTTGAGAGAATGGAGGACAGCTAGCAATGGAACAAGCCCTTCCCTGGGGCTAGGAAGACAGTCAAGTCATTTCCAGGGGAGGGAAGACTTCTTTCCCTTGAACCCCTGGAAACTTCATATCAAGGTAGAATGAAGAAATACAAATTCTCTCCTCCCAGGAGGCAGAGGCGGAGGCGGAGGTGGAGGAGGAGGAGGAGGAGATGATGACGACAGTTTAGTGAGCTACAGGGGCCAAAAAAAAAAACCCAACAAACAGAAGACTCCTAAGGACAGCAAGTAAAAAGAAACAAGAACTTGCTGACTGAGAACATTGAGCAAATGTCTCCTTCATAAGGAGCACAGAGATACCATCAAAAATGAAGTTGCTTGGAACTTAACTACTTCAGAGAAGAGCAGAATGAAGAGAAAAACTGATCCCCTGTACAAATGAAAATGAACTACCTCCACCTAATGGGAGAATAGTCAAAGAACAGAACATCCTCAGAGAATGTTTTGCTGTCCTTTCCCACAGAAGAATAGAAATTCATTATGAAATATGAAACTTTTGCTTCTCTTCTTGAGAGGGGAGCACAGCTAGCATGGAGATGTCAAAAAGCAGCGCATCCTGTGACAGAACCCCCCAAACTGATTCTCCCTAGGGCTATAAACTTGTGTAAGATGGGTCTCCCAGAGGCACCCTTAGGAGAAATATATCTATCTTTAGTGTCTGATGAAGGGATACACTAAGGAACAGGCAGCCATTTTTCAGAGGAGAACTTAGGTGGCTGCTCCCTTGACTGAAGGTGCTGCTATACCCCGAGGGACCTGAAGGTTACTAAAACTGTAGGCTAAGCAATATATGGGCAACAGAGATTATGCAGACTCTTAAGTTGAGAGCCAACTTCTTGAATGAGATAAACAGCACACTGTGCTATTGGTGTGGCTTCATCCAGTCAATGCAGAGCTCTCTGACATAGGTAAAAAGAATGAAGGAGCAATTACTGAATGGCTAAGTTGACTTTTGAAATTAAAAAAGGTTCTGGTTACATGAGGACCTTTTCATGGTGAAAAATATGTGATTTGTTCTCCAAGGAGAAGCTCCAAACTTGAAGAACCTTCAGGCTGAAGTTACTAATATTCAGCAATCTGCTCCTGAGATCTGTCACAGGATTCCAAGGTGGTGGTCAGCCAAATAATTGCCAACTGTCAGATAATTTTGATGGCTGAGTCAGTGCACCTGAATATAGATAGTTCTTTTTAGATGCTTGCTCAAATGGAATGAAATTATATCTCTTTCTAGGAGAAAGATAAGGCCTCCTTTAGGACAGTTTTGAGCAGGTGCTGTCCTGTCAGTTAATGTATCTCTTGGTTGCCATGTTGTCCATCTTGAACAGTATATGTTGACCCTGTAGAAGGTGGGTAAAATGGAGTTCCCTTACAATATGCCT